GTCGTCGTCGTCGTCGTCGTTGTTGTTATAAAGATGTGTAAATCTGAAGATGCTGAAGTGGTGCAAAGCAATAATAAAACATGACGTGTATGCAATAAATACACATCGCTACAAACAGATGATCAATAAAAATTAAGTCTTAAATAGTGACATCTATCAACGGCTCTGAAAAACAGGTTTAGCAGTGTATCTTGGGATATACTGTATGGATACTTCGTACAGAAAACCTGTATCTCAGCAATACTGCATTAAAGGTATTCATAATAATAGCACTAATTAAAAAAAAGGTTGCCAAAGGGAGGGTGGGAGGGGAGCACAGCCTTCACGTGAATCTAAATCTACCCTCCTGGCCAGACTTGAAATATATAGGGTTGGTGATGAAGCGAGTCACGATCTCATTTGCTCCAGCGAGCAAAAAAAACAACAACAACCCATCACTGGGGGTGATGGGTGTTGTAGTCTGTGAATTTCGGATGATGGGAGTGAGTTGTAGAATCTGGGAAACGGATTCCGGGTGGCGAGTGCAAGGCTGGCCCCAAAAGTCACCTTTAGGGGTGAATCATGGGGGGCGGGGGAAAATGTCGCCCCGTCTCTCAGGCACCACCACCAATTAGCACAGATAGACCTAATTTTTGTCCTCTCTAAAGCTTCCCCCAACTCCCCTGTTGCTAGGCGGATTATCCTCGCGCTCCACTTCCCCTTTTCCTATTGGCTGCAGGTGTGTTCCCTTCCCGTCTCCTTTCTTTTCTTTTTTTGCTCCCATTGGCTACCTCAGCCTTCCATCACTTCTCTTTTGGCCCCGCCCTTTAAAAAAGAAAAGAAAACGCCGTCGGCTGTTGGCATTTTTTGGGGGGTGGGCGGGAATTCTTTAGCTATCCAGGTGAAACCCCGCCTCCATGCCCACTCGCCATTGGTCCATCGCAGGAGGCGGAGTCTGGCGGGTAGAGGTTTTCTTGAGAGAGAGTGAGAGAGAGAGAGAGAGACTCACTCACTCACTCACAGGCGAAACCTGATTGGTTGGGACGGCCTGCGCGAGCAGGTGAGCGCGGGGGCGGAACCAAGGAAGGGCAGGGAGGAGCCGGGGGAGCCTCTGATTGGCTGCTGGCGGGAAGGCGCGCGCGGAGGAGGTGGGGGAAGATGAGAGAACTCCTTCGCTGAGGCGGAGGCCGCCATGTTGGGGGCCGGAGGAGGAGGAGCGGCATCATCTGCGGCGCCGTCGTCGTCGCTATGAAGGCTTGGGGCTGCTGAGGTGGGAGGAGAGCGCGCGAGAAGTTCCCTCACGGTCGCCCACCGCCTTCCTCACAACTTTCGCCCGGGGCGCTTGCGAAGCGGTGGTGCGTCAACTTCTTTTTTTATTATTATTATTAATAATAATCATTTTTTTTATCTTTCATCATTACCTCAGGCGAAGAGGAGAGGGTGGGTCCCGAAGTTTGAGCAAACTTCCGCGGAGAGCGGGGGGGGGGAAGGAAATAAAGGAAGAGAGGGACAAATCGTCATCATCCTAACAATCATAACAGCAGCAGTAATTAAAATTATAACAATAACAACCATCATCTTAACACGCATAATAATAATGGGAGCGACAGTTAATGGTGAAGCAACTCACAGACTCTTCAAAAGTTAGGAGGGTACGGAAGGTGGGGTCAAAATATTTTAAATAAATAAGGAAGGAAAGAAGAGGGGAAAAGAGAGGAGGGAAGGGGTCCCGGTGGAAGTATTTGGTTTTGATAGAGAAAATTGATTTTTTTATTTTTTTATTTTTTATTTTTTTGCTGGGGCCATTTTAGGAAGATAACAGTTATCTGGGGTCAGTAAAGGAAGATGGGTAGATTATTTGGTGGATATGGTTTTGTTTTGGAGCTGGGTAGAGGAGATTGTTTTCTACCCTTCCTTGTAATCCTAAATTTGGAGGTTTTTTTGGAGGTGGGGGGAATGGGCACAGGTAGATTAAATCAAATCCCCCCCCAAAAAAAGGAGTGTGGGTAGAGTGATTGCTGAGATTAGTGAAAGCATTTACTTATTTCATTTAATTTTTTAATTTCTCTTTCCTTCTCTCCTACTGGCGAATATTATTTGTTTGTTTATTTATTTACCAACCACCCTATTAGTGCCATGCACTATTCTGGCTGGTTTACACAAGTTAAAAACATGTAATAATAATGTTCAATGAGTTGTTAAAACCACAAAAACCTTATTAGCGTATTTTGTGTCTCCCCCCCCTTGCCAAAATTTAGTTGTTTTCGCTCCCTTGTTGGTGACAGGTTTTGAGGGTCAGATGAGCGCTTAGGGTTGAGAAGGTGTCATTGTGGGGAAGAATGAGTTGAGAAAGGGGTGGAGGCTTTTTTGATTTCAGGCAACCCCATGTGGTGGAATTTAATTTCAAGGGAACGGGTTTTAATTCTTGTCCCATTTGATTCAGGAAAGGTGTCTTGTTTGTAGCCAGAACTGATTAAAGTGTCAGTGATACAATAAGTTACTACCCTCTCACCCACCCACCCGATGAGGAGAAGTGTAAGAAAAGAAATGAAAGTTTAAATGTAGCATCTGCTGCTTGCCATCTGAGGACACAGGTTGTAATCAGGGGTGGTGTGCAGGGAAATAAATCTGTTACCTTTTAAACTAAGTGTTACAACTCTTCTGTTTTTAATTTTTATTTCCTATACTGGAGCCGATGAACAAGGCTCCCTTGCTGGAAGTTTGTTCCAAAAGTGTCCTTCTGGGTAAACTGAAAGAGTCTCACAGTGATCTCTGCTTTGTCAAAGCTAATATATGTTTATTGCTTATTATACATCACTTTCTGGTTTAATGAAATATTAAAAGAAAATGTACTACTACTACTACAGCTACTACTATTACATAGGAGCCTAGAGACAGCTTCTGGAGAAGGTGAAACTATCCTTATTCATTCTTATGTACGTTTACTTGGATGCCTTCTTAAGTGTCATTGGCAGTGAAGTGAAGGGACTGCAGCAAAGGGCTTACACAGTAGCGGGACATTGTTTTCTGATAAAAAGATGATTTGAAAGGATTTTATGTCATGAGACCACCCCCACTCCCACTTTTGTTAAAGTTTAAAGTGATGGGCAAGGTGGGAAGTGAGTCTTAAAGGAAAGAGTTCTTGTTACAGTGATAACAATTATGACAATTTTATCATGGCTATTTTGTACATTTATATGGGGTACACCATCTGCATCTTAGCTGCTCACTGTGGCAACACTCCTGGCCCCCAGCAAAGGATCCTTTGTGAGATGGGTGTGATATTAGCTGGATTAGAAATGGGTAAACTTCTTGTAATTTATTTATTATAAAAAGGACTGTTAATAATACTAATATTAATAATAATCCTAGAGCTGCAAAGTTGGAAGAGACCCTATGGGTAATCTAGTCCAGCCCCTGTCAGAGACACAGTGGGGAATTGAACTCCCAACCTCTGGCTCCTAAACCATTGAGCTATTTAACAGTTTATATTCATCTTGGTTTCTAGTTTCCTTGTCTAGAAGCAGGCACTTAAAAAACCCCACCATATCATGTTTACCTGAGAATAGCTTAAAGAAACTAAATATAAGGAATTGTAAACGTTCTGATAAATGTATATTTATCTTTAGAGAATGTAACAGGTGGGGTACTTAAGAAGTACTGGTTCCTGAGTGGAATAACTCAGGGTACTTGATAACAGTAGAGTGCAGATTATATCACACCATTGTAAACTTTTCTCTGAGAGATGTGTTCACAGATTTTGCCTAAGTGCTTTGACACAAGTAATGTGCTCGGTGCTCTCTAAATGGGTTGATCAATGGAAAGAGGAATACACGTGTAAAGAAAATTGAGCCCATTGTAGAAAGTCTAAATGCACATTTGGGAGCCTGATCTACAAGGGAAAGCTTAATCTTGCACACACATACTTTAAATGCTTACAGGAGAAGCTAAGAATGCCTTTGGACCCGTTGGTGGTGCCTTTGTCTGCTTGGTGAGCATTGGCTTCATAGAAAGCATTGATCAAAATCAGGGAAAACTTGCTAAACAATCTTGGCTGGTTCCTGTGCTGAGCAAAGAGACTGGATTCTCTCCTTCCCTTTTTTTGCACATAGCCCTGTAGTACATGTAATTTTTACATATTTCTTTAATGTTTGTTTTTGCAGCATACGAAAGCAAATAGTTTTTGGTAGCCTGAACAGTGTTGAGACTTCTTTCCTTATGTATTTTTAAAAAGAAGTTGAGGGACACTTGCGCTGGGAAGCAAGGGTGTCAGAAATCTGTATGGTAGATACGCCTGCAGAATAGTTAGAATTCAGCTTTGTAAGAAAGACTGACAAGCATTACTGGCCAAAATTGTTATTTTCCCCCCTCAGAAACAACTTTTATTCCTAATTAAAGACAAAAAAAATTTAATGGTTGCCTTAAATTTTGGACTGTTGACTTTTATTATAGCATGTTACTAGTTACCATATTTTTTAAAATGTTTGTTGAAAAGTTTCCATGTTATCTCCCACAGAGAAATGGATAGCAGGAACTGCCTTCTCCCTTTTTGGGGGGGAATCTCTTTAGTATAACTAATACCTCTAATTATGCCTTTTACCAATGTCGATAACATACAAAGGCTGTTAAAAGGGGGGAAAGAGGAAAAGCTTTTGATGGACCCTCCGCCAAGGCCCAATATATGTATTTCCTGGGGAAAACCCTCCAGTTAACAGAGTAACACCTGTGGAGGACAGATTTTTGACTAGCACTTTGTTGGATGCAGGGCCTAACTCTTTAAGGGAAGGGATTGAATGATAATAGCAGTGATTGAATGATAATAGCAGTTCTCCTCATCTTTGAGAGGATTTGGGTTTCTTAGAGATCCCACTTGGAACTGGTTGATCTGTTTGTCCAAGGTGTGCTGCTGTGATTGTGTGCTCTATTTATGCAGTGGTTCTAGTCACTGTATAGTTAATGATTGATGTCAGGTTTCCATGTAGGATGGCCACATGAAATGGAGGAGATACTTCCTCTAGCAGTTGGAGTAGAAGGAGTTGGGGGGAAAGGTCAACAGGTGTAGCAACTCTTCAGTTTGAGGATGCTGATATTGTCAAAGCCATTGTTTCATTTGTGAAACAAACTTCCATGCTTCCATGTCTAGAGCGTGGGTTAGCTGATGGGATTATGCTGTAGGCTACACACACTTTGAAAGTTGTGGTGTAAAAATCAACATGCTTGTGTTTGGACTTAGCAAGGGGAGAAACTGATCAGTAGTCCATTTGCTTCAAATCAGTGATTTGGTGAAATGGTTGTTGTAGATTTTTCAGGCTGTTTGGCCCCAAACATGGCCAAATAGCTCAAAAAGCCTACAACAACCATCGGATCCTAGCTGTGAAAGCCTTTGAGATTTGGGGAAAGTTTAATGGAACTAGTATTTCTGCAAGAAAAGGGGATTAGATACTAATCTGTTTGGATACTGTTTAGTAACTAAACAAATGTGAACTAGCTGTTAATTTCTTTGACTTGTTTGTTTTTACCATTTAGCACAATATCTGTTCTGCTTTCCAGTGATTTGTATGTGTGTTAGTGCATTATATTTCTTTTCTACTCATGCAGTCTAAAGACGTCTTTATCTTGGAAGAAGCATGGAAACCATACCTGCTCATTTTTTAAAACTCCTCATCTCTCTTGAATGATTTTGAAGACAACTTGAAAGCTGCTTTCATACCATGCCTAGCAGAATGGGATCAAAAATAAACATGAAGAAAGATTTCATCAGAGTAAAAACTCATTATAATGGGTAAGTTCTATTAAGGTTTTGTTTTTTGTTTTTTTTCAGATCTTGGATGAAATCCTCTTATATTGAGTCTACATTTGTGTCTGCAGAAGTTCAGAGGGAGTAATACCCAGACAGGCCATGTTACATGGCTGATTGTGTGTTTAGTTGTGCAACTACACTGGCACAATATTTCCTGAATACAATGTCAGCCTTAGCATATACTTTGCAACCGCTTGAGTTACGCAGGCATAGCTATGCAACAGGATTGTGCTTTTTAATTAATTTTTGTGGTAACAATAATAATGTGTTATCTGACTTGTACAGACCCTTTCCAAGGTTTTCTAGGTATAAAATCATCAGAAGTGGTTTACCATTCTATTCTTCTTGGGGTTCTCTGGAACTATGTAGCTTGCTTATAGCTACAAATGCTGACTCTTCTCCCAGCCCTGTGGGGAGTGAAACTCCCAATTTATGGCTCTCCAATGATGCATTCCTCTCCCTTGGCTGATTCTTTGGATCCTGTCCATAGACTCGCAGGTGCTGCTCAAATGCTCAGCTCACAGTTCAGCCATGTACAGTACTGCTTGGATTTCAAGTTTAGCCTCATTAGCTTTAATGGAACTGGCAGTCAGAAACAGAAACATGTGTTGGCAGATTCCGGTAAGGGTGCTGTTGAGTTGTACTTTGCACTCAATAGCTGTTGATGGATTTCATATTATGTGCAAATCTTTTACGAACCCTTACATAACAACCTTTGAACTTTCCTTCACATTATTTGTGCTATGAAAGTGCCTAATATGAGATTGAAACAATAGACTAATTTTAGAATGGGGAACATTTCAGGGAGTATTTTCTAGCCAGGGGCTCAGTGTCTGTATTAACAGAAACTGTTTTAATAATACAGTTTTGTAAATGTCATTTGCTTAGGAATAAGTCCCATTGAGCTTAGCAGCACTTGCTTTTACATTTAAGTTAAGACTCACATGGAAAAATGGTGCCTGGTTCATGTTCCCTCTAATTTTCCTTCCCTCTCCATGGGAGCCTCTGCATGCATGAAGGGGCAGAACTTCATCTGAAATGGGAAGTAAACAAATTGAGTGCTGGTTGCCTATGTGCAGCCCAGTGAACCTCTACACACATGCACATGGGCGTACCTTAGAGGGAATGTTGCCCCTGTTGGCTTAAACCAGAGTCATTGGATTTAACTGAGTTATCACTCACTCTTTTCTCCATGCATCAGTGTAGGTTTTCCATGATAGTTGACAAATGCTGTGCTAAATAATTTAAGGTATCTCTGGTACAGTGCTCCTTTGATATTATGATTAAACTAATTGCAAGGAAGAGGGAGTCATACTATTCATGATTGTTGATCTGTCTCCATGGAAGCTTGGGGTGGGTGGATATTTGTACACTTCAGGTGTAATGGTGCTTAAAGCAGCAGAGGCGATCATGCAGGATAATTGAAGAATAGGTCATATTTACTTAATCTTCCTTTATGTAAAGAAACTCTTGATTTGGTGGTTGTATATAGTTCTTTGAATTCCTTTGAATGCAACCCTGTTGACTAAAGCACTGAAGAATGCATAAAATGCTTTCACAAAAAGTACATTCTTAGTCGTCTTGGCCAAAATATTGGGTTAGGGTGGAGTCATTCACTTCATGGGTGAAAGACAGGGTGTTAAAGACAGTGGAATTAAATGCCAGCAACTGCTTATCTTTGATTCTCTGAATCTTAAGACACACTAGAGTGTTAGTGTTTAGTCTTCGACTGGGACTTGAAAGATCCGTGTTATCTCCCCGTCAGGCTATGAAACTTGCTGAGTGTCGTTGAGCCTGTCGGTAGGTATCTCACGAAGTAGTTGTGAGCATAAAGCTGAGAGGACAAAATCCCTGTGCACTACCTTGAAAGAATGGTGGGTGTAAAATGTAATAAAGAACTAAGTAATACATAGGCAGTAGTATGAAGAAATTTGCACATAGTTTAGCTGGCTTTCTGTGTACGGGTGCTGCTAAAATAAAATATAGAAAAGATGTTAAAGAGTTGATGCTAAGAAATGCATTTGACGTGTGGACGTATTACAGGCTATGCCCACAAGTTAAACAAAGTTGCTTGGGTTGAGAGGGTGCCAGTGAAGAAATACTAAGATGAGTGAAAACCAAGAAATCCTCATGCATTATGTGAAAGCTGGAGTATATTGTTCACATTGTGATCAGTGAGAAGGCACCTGGAGTATTGTGTACAGTTCTGGTCGTCACACGTCAAAAAAGACATAGTGGAACTGGGAAAAGTGCAGAAGAGAGCGACTAAAATGATGACTAGGCTACAGTCTTTGGGGCTGTTTAGTTTAGAGAAAAGGCGCCTGGGGGGACATGATTGAGATGTATAAAATTATGCATGGGATGGATAAAGTGGATAGAGGGAACCTCTTTCCCCCTTTCATGCAATACCGGAAGAACGGGACATCCACTCCAATTGATTGTTGGGAGAGTGAGAAGAGACAAAAGGAAATATTTCTTTACCCAATATGTTGTTAGTCTGTGGACCTCCTTGCCATAGGATGGGGTGCCGGCATCTGGCCTAGATGCCTTTAAAAGGGGATAGGACAGATTCCTGGAGGAAAAGTCCACTATAGTTTACAAGCCAGGATGGGGATGTACTATAATCTCCAGGGCTTAAAAGGAAGGTTCCTCCAAATGCCAGTTGCAGGGGAAGGGTATGAGGAGACAGGTATCTAGTTGTCTTGTGTGCTCCCAGAGGCATCTGGTGGGGCTACTGTGAGATACAGGGAGCTGGACTAGATGGGCCCTTGGCCTGATCCAGCAGGGCTCTTCTTATGTTAATCATGTTTGAGTCCAACCTAGATTTCAGCTGCTCCTTGCCCTGGTCAGCATCCAATTCCAAGGCGGTGTAGGGGGTAGAGTAACAGACTAGCACGCAGGAAACTGTGTTCTATATCTTTTCGGCTATGGATTATCACTGGTATTTCTCATACCCTGAAAAAACTGTTGGGTTTCCAAGGTAGGCACCATACAACAGGTGCAATTTGATGACACATAAGACACACAGAGGTGTGTAAGGACAGTATTACAGCAGATAAAGTGAAATGTAATCTGGGCAAGACTGTGGATTGGGAAATGTCGAAGAAGATTTAGATCAGATTTTTGATGGATTACATTTCCCCTTAAAAGTCTGAGAATTATCCTGAAATGACAAAGGTGACTTCAGGATTTAAAAAAAAAATCACCATGTAGACTAGTTTAACAGGTACACCCTGTCTGTAGAAAGCTGATCTAGCCAGATTGGCATGCATCTTGTGTATCTCCATGCTTGATTACTGTAATATGCGACCTTGCCTGAGAGACAGTTTTGAAACTGCAGCTGGCACAGAATGCAGCAGCTAAAATGCATGCCAGAGCTAATGTTTAGATTGTGTTATACCTATTCTACATCATTTAGGTTGGCTGCCAGTTAATTTCCATTTCATGGTGTTGGTTTGGAATTTCAAAGCACTAGCCCACTCACCCAACCCTCTAGCCCTGGTATGGTGAATCTTTGGCACACCAGTTGTTTTGGACGACAACTGCCAGGACCTCCAGCTTGTGTTGCCAGTGATTAAGGGCTGTGGGAGTTGTTACAGTCCAAAGCATCTGGATTGTCAGGATTCACTGCCCTCGCCTTTGCCCGTCTGCAAGAAGTGTTAGGCAGGCGGGTGCTAGCATAGGGGCTTTCTCGATGGTGGTTGCATACCTTTGGATATTCCTCTTCGGGAGAATACGCCTGGCCTATGTCATTGGCAGTAAGCAAAATCCTGAACACAGAATTCATTCTACTGGGCATTTGATGCTTGAAAGTAATTAGCTGTTTCTGCATGTATCTGCATCATTATTATGTACTTATGTTGGAAGGTTTGATTTTGGAGCTTTCAGGTAACCCCTGAAAGGAGATTAATATCTGTTAAATAAATCGACAGTGGGTAGCCACCTGAAGGGTGGCCCCTGAATCTTCTATGAGAGGCAGGGCCTTCTTCTCGGTGGCTCCTTCTTTGTGTGTCTGTATCATTGTTATTTGTTCTGTTTTTATACAGTTTTTATTAACGCCCTGGCACCCTCTCTTTTTACAGGGTTAGCTATTGATGGTTTTGTCATGTTAACTATTCGGTTGTTTAACTTATGTGAACTGCCCAGAGTAGTTCTGCGGCACTAGCGGGTGCAGTATATCAAATTGAAAAAATAAAACAAACCAGCAAATATAAGCAAAAGTGTTAGGAAACCTTTTGAGCCTCGGTTGATAGAATACTCCCACCGGTTTCCCTTTTTGGGTGTCATTTTCAGCTATCCTCTCAGCCTTTACTTCATTTGCATATATTTATTTCCCTGTGGTCATAAGAACCATGTGAAATTTGAAGTCAGAGACACGCTAGTTGAGGCAGCCTGTTTGTGATTTAAGGAGAAAAAATGTAGCGATTATAAACATGTGACATTCTCTCTTTCAGGGATATCCTCATAACTAACCTGGGTGCAACCATGAATTATAGTGAACTTTGTGATGAAGTGAGAGGGATGTGCAATTTGCAGCAGGAACAGCCAATTACCCTGAAGTGGATTGATAATGAAGGTATTTCAGACTCGTGTTACATGCTTTCATTTTTTTGGCAAATATTTCTCTGATACAGTTTGCGGTACGTTTAATTATCTGGATGTGACAAAGTTGGTGACTTTTAATTTGGAACTATTGAAGGCATTCTTGATTTCACATAATAGATATCAAGGGATATTCGCTTCAGAGAACATAGCTTTGGGATGCTCACAGCTTAGATAATCATCACTGTGATGTCGCTTGTTTTGCATGTACTGAACTGACGAACTTCAAATTTTTACCTGTGGGATACAGTCTCCCCTTATAAATTGTATGAACCCAATTCTTTGTTGCGCAGGCTCTGTGCCCTTGCACAGGGTCCAGATACAGGCATCAAGGTTTTATAAAGTTAGGAGACCTGTGTGTATACTCTTGCTCGAAATAGGAGAGAAATACAGGCATTTCTTTCTTCATAACAGCCTGATGTGCTGACTGAGCTTGCACAGGACAGAGCGGAAACAAGTCTTTATTATGTCCTATGTCGAGTAAAAGTGGCAGAATCCAGTGTGCTGGAGGCAGCCCAGGGATCCCAATCCATCCCTGAAGGCGCCCCCCCCCAATCTTTCCCTGAGAATCTGAAGTCCTTTTCGTCTGTGGTTGCCCCTTATTAGCTAGGGCTTCCATGAACGGACTGAGCCACACTGCTGGAAGTAGCAGCTGAGAGCCGACCTCCTTCCCTCTTTTTTCTCCCTCCACAGGAAAGGAGACAAAACCAGGTCTTTTAATCTGGTGTTCCCAGGAGAAGCAATGCTAAGAAGTGGCTAGTTTCTACCCTCCCCGGGTTTGGAAAGAGGAGTTGAGTGGGGCTGAAACAGGGCCAAACTCATGATATTGGAAGCTTTCACCGCAGGGGCTGCAGACAGTGGAGGACTTGAGTGATGGTTTCTTAGCTCTGTTTCTTAGCTCTGTCATATCCCATATTGTGTGTGTTGCTCTTGTGTGGAGGTGGATTATGCCCACTGAGGGGATCCCTGCTATTTGTGTCCTTCTGTTGTAACCCAGAACTAAAAACCAGATTTTCCTATTAGTAAATGTTTCCTGGCAGTGGGAGCAGCGAGGCAAAAGCCCAGGTTTAGACAATAGTTTAAGCTTGTATCTCTTGGTCAGCTTAGCTGCTCCTGCTGGTTTGACAAGTGAAATGGGTTGTATGCTTGAGAGCAAGCAGATCATGAACGCTAAGCCTGGATTCTCTATTATTCTGTTTTATTGCTGCCTGTGAATGTGCCCATTGACTGGCTTAACATGTCACATTTCCTAACACAGTCTTTGCTTTTCTTCTTAACTATAAACTTCACCAGTTGGTCGTCGTTGTCTTTTTGCTTTTATTGTTTAATGGAGACAGATTACTGGTTATATAACGGCGACATGTTTTTTCTAATTTGAAAATCATGGATGGGTATGGCTCAATAAATGAAGCTTCTCTTGACATTTTTATACACTGCTCCCACCCTTTTATAGGCACTCCATGTCTGCTTGGGAATTCGAGAATGTTTTTGTACAAAGACAATCAAGCCAAGATGTGAGATGATTTGGTTAAACGATTTGTTATTTTACCACCTGAGAATGGCACTTCCCTGAATTCGTCCTAACAGAGTACTCTTATCTGTCCAGACCTCCCTTGCCACTGACAGAAACAGGCCTAATCCAAATTCAAGCTGGAGAATAGTGGCTTATAGCGTCTGTATATTTTCCCCTCCTTTCAAGAGGATGCTCCAGTAATACCGTGCAGAAATTTGATCTGTGTTCATGCAGCGTGATTTGTCTGCGGATAACACAATATGAGAATTATTGCATTTCTGCAGTCTTTTCCTGCTGATTAGCAAACAAGACTATCAGTGAGCATTATTTAGTGGTTAATTCTTTGGCAGCAAATGTGACTAGTGGATTAATTTACTGTGGAGCAATCTGAAAGGCATCCCAAAAGACAGGTCATTAAAAGCACTTAAAATACACTTAAAATGCACTTTGTTCTTGATGAGAACTTGTAGTAGTTTTGCAGAATATTTTGAAAGGTGTCATGTTTAAAAATGGGGGCATCGTGATCTAAAGTTTATTCTTGAGTAATCCAAGGAAATGAGGGAAAGGTTGGAAACACTGAGGCTTCAGTTTAATAGAGGTCCTTCATTAAGGCAGGGGGTTGGGACCTCACAAAAGTACCTCCTAACTCTATGGTTCCAAAAAAAGACATCAGCTGAGTGATTCTTACCCAGTGCTCATTTTATCAGTTTTCTCCAAAGTCTCAGGAATTTCATGTCCTGTTCTTAAATTTTTTTTTCCTTCGTGGATTTTTTCTGTAATCTACTGGTAGGGTACTAAACAGACTTTTGCTATTACAGAAGCAATAAGTCTTTTTTTGGTACTTCATTGTTTTTTTGGGGGGGTTGTTTATGGCTTTTCTAGCCTTAGTTTTTCTTCTGATTTCTTTTGTATTGGACCACCATGATACCAATCTCCAGTATAGAAAATGTGGAAAGGCATTGTCTTGCAGTGGTGCCAACAGATCGGTCTGTTGACTTCGACTGTGCAGGCGGTTGTTTTCCCTTTTCAGTCAACATTAAAACAAAATTAAGAATTAGAGTAAAGTTTTTCCAGCGTTAACCTATTACCAATTATACCTGTTCTAACGTATTCTTTTTGTGCATTGCTATTCTCATACTTCAGGGACAGTTCTTTAGTAGCCTCCAAAAGTTTAACTAGCCCATAGTGTCTGGCTGCAGAGAGAAGGAGCTGTCTGGTTTCTCGAAAACTTAATCGCAGGTGTGGGACTCAAAATCCCTTTTTTGCCTGTAGTACCAAGGAGTGTGAGTAATGCAAGACGGCATTACACCCCACATGCATGTGGATGTGCTTGAATAGGCTACAGGACATACCGGAAGACCAGTTCTTTTTTCAACAACTAAGTGCAATTTTTGTTATTGAACTTGTGTGTCCTAAGCCTTTGAATTCTTCCTTCTCAAGAAACTTCATTTAGGCTAACGGGTTATAAATTAGATTCCTGGCACTTTTTAAGATAGAGTTGTTGTTTCACACTCTCTTTCTCCCTCTCTTCTTTTTGTTTTTCTTGATAGGTGATCCATGTACCATTTCGTCCCAGATGGAGCTAGAAGAAGCATTCCGTTTGTACTCTCAGCACAGGCATGAAGGGCTCGTTATTCATGGCAAGTATCAGGATCTCGTGAACATTACAGTTTCCATTTCCTGGGAAATAACGCATTTCAGACCTGACTTTTTCTATAGTACTGTGTGGTATCATAATAGAATTCAGTTTTACGGTTGGAAGATCGATGCAACCAGCTCTGCTTTACTCCTTTTTCTGTTTTCTTCCTGGAATGATGTAACTATTGATGCTGCTTAGACCTCTTTCATTTTCTATGGGATGCTCCCTTCATTTCGTGAGTGTCTTGTGTTTGCCTCTGTGCTACTTTCTGCAAGACAGGTATTTACTGCTCTTCATCATGTCACAACTCTCTAAATTTAGCTGCCAGTCTGTAAGATCCATTTTCCCTGGCTCTTTAGTATTTAACTAAACCAAAAAAGGGTCATATGAATTATCTCAATGCCTCTTGCTGCTTATGCGCATTAACTATGCAGGTGTCTTGAAGTACAAACTCGTATACATCTTTTTAATTTTTTCTTCTTATGCCTTCATGCCTCTGCTTGGCTCTGTTCTTGCAAATATGTTCTGTCTTCTCTGTCAGTCCCCTTCCTTGTATAAATCCCTCCTTTAATGCTTGTTGTTCCGTAGACCACCACAGCCGTGAATCTTTCTCATCTTTTGTATTAAGCACATTTCATTGACCCTCTTCATTTCTGGCCTTTCTTAAGTAAGATGTCTTCAGTGTTCTGCCTTTGAATCCCAGTTCTTCTGTAGAAGCTAAATTCCATTGTCAGTGCTTGTGGATAAAATGGCAAATGGCTAGAAATGTTGTTTAATAACAACATTTATTACACATTTTGATGTGCGTTGTTATTGTTGTTGCAGTTTTCCCCAGCATTCCAGAAAAACCAGGCATGCCTTGCCCAGGAGAAGACCGTAAGTATTTTTGATTTTGGTTTGCATCAGAGGCATGCAGTTGTGTTTTTGGACTACATCTCCCAGAATCCCTCAGATATGCTGCCTAGGGAATTCTGGCAGTTGTAGCCTTAAAACATGAACCTGCACACCTCTGAGAGGATAGCACTCCATCTTACAAAACATTGTTAGTAAAAAGGTGTGTTGTGTATTTTTTGGTATACTATATATTGTTAAGCGTTGGTCTTTTATTATTAAAGTTTTGTGCTGCCTTTCTTCATTTAAAGTTAACTTTTAATGTTGATGATAAGACCACATCTCTTGGCTTCTGAATTGAATCTCTCTGCAGTTGAATGACAGTAAAATGGATCTGTATGTGTCATTCTTCTATTAATATTGCGAAAGTACTGAGATAATCTGGTGCAGAGAAGATGGGCCAGAGTTTCAGATGTGGCTGTTAAAGCAAAGACTTCATTTTCACCGAAGTGCTTTGTTTCCCTAAGTGTGGGTGTTGTTCTGCTGATAGGTACCAAAACGGTCATTATGAGGAGAGTAGCAAGAGTAGCTAGGTATCGAAAAGACGTTAGTGTATTAATCCTCTTCTGGCACTTTAGGTTGAAGTAAATTTGTACTTTCTTTGAAATGAATGCAACATAAGCCATGAGTAGCTTGTCAGACGTAGAGCTGTAACCCAACATAATAATTGGGGCTTACCAGGAATGAACTTTGTGCTGGGGTACTCAATTTACTGACCTCAGAATGATGGAAGGCTGAGTCAACCTTGATCCGGCTACCTGAGCTGCCCTCCAACTAGGAAGAATGACTGAGGTAAGCAGTAGCAAAAAAATTTAAATGTGTTGCCTACATTGGAACACAGCATCAGTTGTAGGCTGCAGGTACCATAGAGAGCGGGCTGTAGATACATGAATGGCTGCATCAGTTGTAGGCTGCAGGTACCATAGATGCTGTAGAGAGGGGGCTGTAGATACATGAATGGCCCATTTGCAATCCCCCTTTCTTTACGTGGCTACTCTCAGGCTGAAATCCAGTAGTAAGTTACAACTAGAATAGGTTCATTGAATCGGTGCGGACTGAGTCGGGTGAGTCAACTCCCCTGTAAGTTCCATTGATCCAGTGGCCATACTCTAGTTGCAACTTAGTACAATATTTCATCCTCTCCCTCCCTCCCTCCCTCCTTCCTTATCTCTGAGAGGTCCATTCCTGCAGTTGCAACTTAGTACAATATTTCATCCTCTTTCTTCCTTCCTCCCTCCTTATCTCTGAGAGGTCCATTCCTGCGTCATCCCTTCCTCCATTTTAAGCTAGAGAAGTGGCTGCAAACAGACCTGGGGGCAGGCGGAATGAGGAGCTTCTATGTTCTAAATTGGGTAAATTTCTTACCCTCTTGCATGTGTTTGCTTGGATTACTTTGATAAATGAAAAGTAAGTTTTTCTTTTTCACTAACAACCAGTCCGCAGAGTGATACAGAGCGCTGTGTTAGGCAGCTGCACTCTGACAGTGAAACTGCTGAATAATCCAACTGGTGCTCCTGTACCCCTTTGTCAGCGGTGCCTCACAAACCCTGCTTTATGAGCTTAAATTAGTTAAAACACCGTTAGTTTGGTATTAACTCGTAGGGTGTTTCATTAGGTGGTCACATTATAAATTATGGATCTGTATAGATTAATGTAACTCAGTTGACCTAGTACTTCACTAGTATGTAGAATGTACTAACAGTCCACTGCCGTGTTAGTGGACAGACTTGAGTCACTTCAAATAATCGGAAAAGTTTGCCTGATAGGATATACTTGGTGAGTGATTGTAACGTTGGACTTTTCCAAGGTGAAATGAATGCATCCTGTAGGATTCTGGCCCCGTGAGGCCTTCCTAGAAACATGGTAGTGAGATTACTTGCTGTTCATACTACAGTGCAACTGATGAGTGAAATTGGCCAGGATTAGTTCTTAAATATTCACACAGACCAGATCATCCTGGGACTTGGATTAAGCACTAGGGTGGGCAATCCCTATACTGTACTGTATATAAATTAGGCTGTTTTAATGAATGTAATGATCCACAGCAAAGGATCCAGATGATTTCATTCTGTTTTTCCTTGTCGGCAAATAAATGTAGCTATTTGGTAGGTTTTATGGCTTCATTTCTTATTGGAAACAGCTAAAGATGGCACTTTCAAAAAAATCTTGTGTGAACACTGCTTTAATTTATTTTTAAATTTTTCTCTTGTTCTTCTCACTGGTGTTTACAGTGAGCCATATTTAAACTTGGAAGTTATTTTCTGGGACAAGAGTGAGAAATTTAATTCTCTATTCACTCAGAATAGGCTGTCACTTAAATTAGCAATCTGTTATTGCAGACTAATTTTCTGCAGTTGCACAAAAATGAGGACGTTCTGGAATGAATTGGACGGCAAACAGTTGGGTAGATTTCCCCACCCTACTGAGTTGTGAATGCACATCTCATTTATATGAGATTATGATAAGGCATTTATCTCACATTTTAAGCAAAAATATTATTTGTATTTTTAATTTTGATTTCTTTGGAAATATGTTGTAAGCTTTGGCACATGTGGAAGCACTAGAGTGTTTTTTCGCTAATTCCTTTCAAACTTAATATACTGTTACAGCAAACTTAATAGATGGCTTTTTAACTTTGGCTCCGTGGAAAAATAAGATGTAATAATGTGCATCCCAACGAGTAAAGCTCTGAATTCCGTACCCCTATTTTCAGGAGTGTTGTTTTGCATCTGTCTCTTTTCAAAGAACTGATTTAAAAACCGTGCTCGCCAAACTTTGTTCAAAAGTTACAAAAATTGTTCAAAAGCTTAAAAAAGAGAAAATGCTTCAAAGTGTAACAATACTTTCTCCAGGTTTTAAAGTGGGATTCATCGGCAGGACTTTCTCCAGGTTTTAAAGTGGGATTCATGTACAAGCAACAGCATGGGTTATTTTAAGAAGATCGGCAGGATAAAAGTATAAATGGATGAATGAATGAAATAGGTTTTCACAATTACTCGCCCTCTAAACTCATAGTGACCCAAGTCTGTGTTCTCGTCCGAATTCTCATGCATGGAAAGGCTGCCTTTCCCAAGGCTTTTCTTCCTTAATCAGGTAACATGCAGGGAAACGTACAAATTCTGCTCCTCCTGGTTGTAGAAGGTTCAAGTGGAAGCTCACAACCCTTGTGGTTTTTCCGTGGAAGTAGAGTTCAGTCTTCTCTCTCAGATGTCAAAATCACCCTACGTGTCTCTTGGGCCCATGCCACCTTTATAGGGACTAATTATGTACAAGGTATTTTACCACCTCCACCCCCACCCCCATGTGAAGGCTGTTGGAAGCACCCCTTATTAAAATACTCAAAAGTCTCCTGATGTGCTATGCTTGGTGGAAGTTGTGGGAGCAACAGTGCAGCTTGATATGGCTGCACTGTTATTTACAGCAACACTCTCTGGTTGAACAGTTTATGAGCTTTTGGTTGCCTTCCAGCTTCCGATTCCTTGCTTTTATAAAGATCTGTAACAATACCTCTCTGATCTTGTTTCTGTGTGTGTGTGTGTGTGTTTTAATCCACTTGCTGTCCGCTTGTTAATGTATATTTATTTATTAGAGAGGTGCCCATTATTTGTGCTTTCTCTTATCAGTTCCTTGACATCCATGCCATGTTTTAGTTTGTGCCTCAGCTGCTAGCTACAGCCTCCCAAGGGAGCCAGTACCACCCGTGCCTGGATACATGAGGCAGAGATGTGAAAGAGAGAGAGAGAGAGACCAGGATAACCAGGCTTCCATTAAATATTTGCTCTTAATGTTCAGCCTGATCCTGCCTGTCGCCTTCTCTCTCTGTGTGGGGTTGTTTTTTTTTGGGGGGGGGTGTTGTCTAGTGCTTATCCAAACAGCAGCATCCCTGAAATAAGGGAACGAGGAGATCCCCTTTCATACCTCCTGCATTGTAAAGCATAAAGAATGACATGCTGAAGAAGCAAAAGAATAAAGCCCAGTGAGTAATGCGTTTCTTTTTCTGTAGATGTTAACGTGCCTTTACTGCGATTGTTATGAACCGAGGCCATCGATGCAGTATGTCTGTGCATGTGGTGCAATGGATAATAGAAGTCAGCATTTTGGTTCTCTCGCCGACGGTCCTCCTTTGCAGCCTCGATTGCTACAAACAGAGATTTCGCGGCCGCCTCTTTGCCCGTACTGGGATGTGGCTGAACAAGCGCTGAGAAATACTTGATGTGTGTGTGTGGGGGGGAATTGCCCTCAAAAGACGTGTTCCTGCCAGGAGACAGATTTTTTTTATTTTTTTGTTTCAAGGGGGAAGATCAGACAGAGGAGAGAGAGAGAGAGAGAGCATGCAGCGTGAGTGATGCTGCTGCTAAGGGAGATTAATGAAGGAAATGTATCCCAAAAAACCTGACGGTATGTGTTGTGTTGTGTTCGGGCCTGTTTTATTGTGCCAGTGTTTTCTTTATTGCACCAGCAATTTGCTTAATTGGCTCAGATTTGTTACGTTGCAAAGAAAGCTGAAATGGATTATTGTGTTTTCCTGTCGTCATACTGAGGAGAAATAGGATGGTACCGCATTGCTACATTGGGCTAAATCAATATGTTTTAATGGTCAGACTGTATTTTGTGCAGTAGTGGGTGCTAACACATACTAGTACTTTTATCTGGCTTATTTTTCAGCTTGGCTAAGGAGGAGAAGAATCTGTCTGCTCTTGTTTATTGTATAGCAAGGTGTTTTTTTTTTTAAATGTCCTTTTTGGTCCTTGAGTCACGGAATCTGATTAAGGACCCTAGTCATATTTGTTTATATTAGTCTTCAACCTTACAAAAATGCAGATTGTCATCTTTTTTTAATTCTCACATGCAGCTTTTATATTCTGTTGCTTCTCATGTCCCATTTGCCCAACGCCTTTAACGAAAATTAAATCATAGGTCTTAAAATGCCTTTTGGGTGTTTAATCAGTGTTTTCCCTGAGGAGTTTTTGCTGGATATGCCTGGC